TTAAATTTATTTTAATTAAAATAATTATATTTCGTATATGATTTCTTAAAAAAATAAAATTAAAAATTAAAAAGAATTACTAGTGAAATTTATTTTAACTAAAAATAAAATATATTCCGTTAGTGATTTTTCAAATTAAAAAAGTAAAAAATAATTTGATTAAATTACTGACGACTTAACGATAAAATTTAACTAAATACATAATTAATTAAAATTCATCGCTAATCCATCTGTGAAATGATATCACCAACAAGATTCAAACACGATCTTTCACACTTATTAACATGTAACAGTGTTAGAGCGTCTGACGATGGTTAAATTAGTCATCAATTAGATATAAGTAATGTATGCATATATACCAATGAACACTAACGACGAATTTTAATTAATTATGTATTTAGTTATTCAAATTATTTGCTATTTTTTAATATGAAAAATGATCAACGTAATATATTTTATTTTTAATTAAAATTTCATCAGTAATCCTTTAAATATTTTTTTAGTTTTTTAATTTGAGAAATCATATACAAAATATATTTTAATTTTAATCAGTAATCTTTTTGTAAATATTTTTTATTTTCAATTAAAATAAATTTCATCAATAATTATTTTTAAATGTAAATACTTTTTTATAAATGTAAGCACTTTTTTGATATATTTGTTTCATTTTATAAATATAAGTATTTTTGTTCAAAAAATGTTTAGAGACTTAATCGTTGAAAATATGAAAGTTCATTAGCTTTTTTTTAGTTTTTTATTATTATTTTACCATATTAACCACTTTATTGGTTATAATGATGTATCTAACAGGTTTTAGAATGTTCTAGGAGTTATTTATATGTTTTGAAATGTCCAATAACTTATTTGTTTTAAAAAATTGTCCAAGAACTTAATCATTTCAAACACTAAAGTTCATTGGGTTTTTTTAAACTTTTTCCTAATTTTTAACTATTAATTAAAAATTATTATGAACATTATTAGGTATATTAGTTATTTCTATATTGTTGTTGTTTCATTATTATTAAATAGATTTAATCGATAAAAAATCAAATATTATGAACATTATTAGGTATATTAGTTATTTCTATATTGTTGTTGTTTCATTATTATTAAATAGATTTAATCAATAAAAAAATCAAATATTACAGTTCTAAAAATAATTTTATAAGTTACATAAAAAATTAAATCTCATAACTGATTTTACTAAAACATTAAACTTAATTGTTGATTATTACATTTTTTAAAATGAGAAAATTGCATCAAAATGGAACCAACTTTCACATAATTCCTATTTTGGGGAACCAATTTTCAAAATTGTCATTTTGGAAAACCAACTTGCACTTGATTCTTATTTTGGGGGACCAACTTTCAAAATCGTCATTTTAGGGAACCAACTTACAAAATAATTATAGAAAAATAATTAAAATTTGTCTTTTTTGAAAAACTAATACAATAAAATCTATTTTTCATTTCAAATCTCGTTTTTTTATTCAGATATCAAATTGAACATTTAAAAAAAATCCAAATTACCACAATAAAAATTGTTTTTTACTAATGCAAAAAAAATCAATTCAATAAAAAAAATTAATTGATACGGATTGGTTAGATATAAAAATATTGAATGTGATATTTAATATTTATTTTTTATTGCATCAATTAATTTTTTTTCTATTAAATTGATTTTTTTGCATTAGTAAAAAATAATTTTTATTGTGATAATTTGTTTTTTTTTTAATTCAATTTGATATATGAATTAAAAAAACGAGATTTGAAATGAAAATTATATTTTATTACATTAATTTTTGAAAAAAAAACGAATTTTAGTTATTTTTCTATAATTATTTTGCAAGTTGGTTC